TATCTTTAAAGGATAATCATAGAAAAAAAACATAAATAATTTGAAGAAATAGTACAAATTTGAAATTGTACTGGGATAATGTGGATAAATTAAGAAAAAGGTATCTCCTTATTGTAGAACTGAAAGTTACTGATGGCTTGCGCTATCTATCGGAATAAATATCACACACACACACACAACTATTTGTTGAATTTTATTCAAAAGTAGGTATTTGGACAATTATCTGTAATAATTAAAACTCAACGAATAGTTTATATTTATTCCCATAAAGAGCGCAAGTTATCAGTAACTTTTAGTTGCACGATAAGGAGATTTTATTTCCTTAAAACATTAATGAATTTTAATCTTATAGATAAAAGAAACAATAACCATTTGAATATATAAAGAAATTATTTTTGGAAAGATTGTTAGCTTTTCTTAAATTTAAAATGTGCATTTACAAATGCAATATGCAAATGCATACTGAACATGAAACTGAAGGTAATTTTTGAGATTCTATATAAAGAAAGTGACATTTGTTCATTTTATATACACACACTCACATAGACAAAACTTAAGGAAGTAGATAAGGGTTTATTTCGCCGGTCGTCTGTTATTATTAATTTTTTTTTTTTTTAGGAGACAGATGCAATTTTTTTGTTCACACTTTGTTATCTCGTGTGTCTTCACACTGTATTATCTTTTAGAGTTATTGTCTGAATCCCGATATACATGATAAAGGGTACAACATATTTAAGTTTTGTACATGAGTGTATATGATATATATACACTCATGAAAAAAACTTAAGGAAGTTATACCTTTCAGCATGTATATCGGAATTCAAACAATAACTCTGAAAGGTATTACAGTGTGAAGACACACGAGATAACCAAGTGTGAACTACACTCATGGACAAAACTTAAGGAAGTTGTACCTTTTAGCATGTATATCGGGATTAAGACAATAACTCTGAAAGGTATTACAGTGTGAAGACACACGAGATAACCAAGTATGAACTACACTCATGGACAAAACTTAAGGAAGTTGTACCTTTCAGCATGTATATCGGAATTCAAACAATAACTCTGAAAGGTATTACAGTGTGAAGACACACGAGATAACCAAGTGTGAACTACACTCATGGACAAAACTTAAGGAAGTTGTACCTTTTAGCATGTATATCGGGATTCAGACAATAACTCTGAAAGGTATTACAGTGAATATTTTAACATGATTTAAAATCAAATTATTAAAATGAATATTGACGCTATAGAAGTTTTGAATTATTCAATGCAGTCTATCTTATATATCAGTTATGAGCATTTTTGATTGAAACAATTTTTCTAATACAAATTCATGAAACTATAGTGTATTATGATATACACCAAATGCATCTAATTTTGTCTTATATTTCTAAATTCAACTTTTTATGGAATAATTATATCTTTTAGGTATTTACACTTTGTTACGATTCAAAGTATAATTGTGTGAAAAAAGCGTTCAAAACTGCAAAGATTTCTTAAAATGAGTTTCTTTGTGTATGCATGGTGTCGTTGGAGACCCGCTCGTGGCGATTCCCCACCAAACTCTGTAGTGGTCGCAGAGAAGCCGTGTACATTGTACATAGTGGTATGCACATATATATTTGGTCGTAAAGGTACAGTCTAATACACACTGACGAGGGCCAACAGCCCGAAACGCGTACGTGGTTGACTTTTCTTGATTTATATTTTAAAAAAATGGGTTTGCCAAATATCACGGAACAAATTAAATGACTTTCAGATTTTCTGTTCCACTAGATGGCGCTCTTCTATCTAGAGATGCTCATGAAAGCACGGTAAGAATATGCCCTATTTTTTTAAATTTATATATATATATATAATTATCTTTTTAAAATATTGAAGACTGTGCACCTTTGCATGTATTGACAAGATTTCAAAAATATTATTTTAATTATCATTATAGTCATAGTCTTTGTGTACGTGTGAAACTCTTTGTCATAAATGCTTATAGTTTTTAACCATTATTATTTTTACACTTTAGGTTTCACGCTTAACTTTGAGATAGGAATGTAGATATTAAAAACACCATTGGTAAGTTAGCTGTAGCTAGGTACTGTGACAGTAATTACGTCCTGATACTTGGTGTCCTCCAGTTCTCCGCTCCAGGAAGATGGAAAGGCGAACAAGGCTGAGAGGTTTCTCAACTGCACACATCCTACAACCTTAAAAAAAAAATAATATTTTGAGTCAAAAGGCGATCCATTAAATAAGTTTATATGAAAAAGGGTGTAGCTGTATCTGTAAAGGAAAAAAATGTTTCTCACAAAATATTTCGAGAGATTGCTCCCTCTTTTATCAAAACTGTGATATGCCTCACTGTGCAATAAATTGATAAAGAGGGAGCAAACTTTCGAAATATTTTGAGAAATAATTGTTTTTTTTTCTTCTTTACAGATCCAGGTACGTCCTTTTTCATATAAAAACATTATTTATACAATGTAAAGTCGATAATATTAATTTTATTTTTAAAATATAGTCAATTATATATTCAATATATAGTCAATTTTATAGTCAAATTATATGTTCGATAACAAAAACAGAAATCGAATTGCGTGAAAAATACATATCTACACTCATGAACATAACTTAAGGAAGAGGAAAGTATTTGATGTCTTTGATTGTCTGTTTTTTTTTTTCTGAGGAGACAGAGACAATTTTAGTCACCCCTGTGTGTATTCCATAAAGGTGACTGTAATATCTTTCAGAGTTATTGTCTGAATCCCGATATACATAATAAAGGATAAAACATCTTTAAGTTTTGTCCATGAGTGAAAATGCCTTATAAACATGCTAGAATAATGTGGTCAGGATGGATATCATACCCGCGGTCTATTACGAAGAAGAAACGGAGCACCTCCTCGGGCTACTCACGCCTAAAGACAAGATTCTTCTCGATAAATTCTTCGACATTTTCATCAAACATGTTCCGAACATGAACTCCCCAAATGGCAGGGATCTGTCTAGATTCAAGGCGGCTTTAAGCTCCTGATCCGGACGTGCCCTCGGAGAGGGCTACGTCGATTGTAAATATTTCTCTTCATCCCTACCATTATTATTACCTTATAACTTCCTTTGAGTGTAAAGATTGACGAGATGTCAATAAAGTTGTTTAATTTTTAAAAACATGCTATTATAATACTAAAAATATATTTCAAGATCATTTGATGTTTGGAAGTTGATTAAAAAAAAACACAGCTACTTCAACCAATGGTTTATTTAACTCCTGACGTGTCAGAGACCTGCTGCCACTTTCCTCAGGGGAATGTTTAGAATCCCCAGTAGGTAATGCCAGCCATCATATCGACCTGCCCATTGGATCAGAATTTGCTTAAAAATTCCAAGGATCCAGGAGGTACTGCCATAAGTTGTGGTTGGACTTCGTGTATTTCGTGTTACGACAGCCTAGTTTCTCCAGTTGACCAGTGTGGCGAAGGCTACCATCTACAAGTACCATCTTGGTCTATAGGTAGGTAATGCCAGCCATCTTTTAAATCTGCCTATTGGATCAGAATTTGTCGAAAACCCCAAGGGTCCATGAGGGACTACCAGAAGTTGTGGTTGGACTTCGTGTATTTCGTGTTACGACAACCTAGTTTCTCCAGTTGAACAGTGTGGCAAAAGCTACGATCTACACAAGTACCATATTGGTCTTGAGGTGGGTAACGCCAGAGTCATCTTATCGACCTGTCCATTGGATCAGAATTTTGTCGAGAACTCCAAGGGTCCAGGAGGGACTGCCGGATGTGGTCGTACTTCAGGTATTTCGTGTTACGACATCTTAGTTTCTCCAGTTGACCAGTGTAGCGAAGGCTACCATCTACAAGTACCATCTTGGTCTTGAGGTGGGTAATGCCAGCCATCACATCGACCTGCTCATTGGATCAGAATTTTGTCGAGAACTCCAAGGGTCCAGGAGGTACTGCCGGAAGTTGTGGTCAGACTTCATGTATATCGCGTTACGACAGCCTAATTTCTATCTCTCTCATCAAATCATCGCAAAAACAGTTAAAAATACAGTGAAACTGGTATATATTTAATAATTGAAAGGTAATCCATATATAAACCTAGGTAGTGTACAAGGTGTGTCCAATAAATAATGAGACTGGTCAAAAACAAAGAAAAAATGAAATTATATATTTTTTAAAGTCTATTAAATCATAGCGGATTCGAAAAAGGTCTTAAAGAACATCCCGAAAGATGCCTTTTCTAAATGTTTTAAATCATGGGAGAAGAGATGGAAATTATGTATAGATGCGGGAGGGGACTATTTCGAAAAATACTAATAAAATTATTTTTAATCATTATATTTTTCTTTATTTTTGACCAGTCTCATTATTTATTGGACACACCTCGTATATTTAAGTGTGAGAAACTTTGCCCTTTCAAACAGTCGAAGATCAAATAATAAGCAATTCAATGTCATCAAAAGAGATATGTTTTTTTAATGAAATATACTTGGCTAACTTACATCAGCCAGTTGACCTTCAACAATTACCGTATAATATAAATATAATGCATTGGCGTGCCATCTGTTGTAAAGAATTTAAACTATTTTAACGCGCATTTTTATCATTGCATTAAGTGTACAGTAAAACATTATTTTATTTGAAAGGAAACATATACGTCAAAAATAGTTTAAATTCTTATGTAGTATAATAGCGAGAAATTTCGAAAAGAAACTTTTCGATTTAAAATGGCCTTGAAAAGTATCATACAATTGTTTTTTTTTTTTTTTTGCCTTCTACATGCTTTGGTAAGCATTTTAAGGCATCACTCATGGTTAGGTGTCTCCAAGCGCCCGCCGCAGGGGAGGGCCCTTGAAAAGTATCCAATTTTCTATATTTTCGATAGCTTGATAAACTATACAATATACACGTATCAGAGTCATCAACAATCAATTCTGTCATCGTTTGCTTTTGTGAATGGAATAAATACCCAAATATGGCCATTTCTTATGAGCATCGGTGGTTCAGTGGTAGAATGCTTGCCTGCCACGCGGTCGGCCCGGGTTCGATTCCCGGCATATGCATTTTTTTTACAATTTTTAAAACTCATTTATATTATTATTATTATTATTATTATTAAAATATACAAGTATCAGAGTCATCAATTCTGTCATCGTTTGCTTTTGTGAATGTATGTAAATAATGGATTTCATATTTTTTATTAATTTTTGTTCTGGCCTTTATTTGTTTAAATCTCTTTTTAAAAATCGTTCAAAATGCAGTCGCAATCATTAGAGAACACATATGTTTGCCTAATATTTCCATATGCTCTTTTATTTTTTTACAGAAAAATATTTACATGCCAGTATGGTGGATTAATTTTTTTTAAACCTTTTTTTAAAATTCTTACTGAGAAGATGGGCATCGCAGTCAGGATTCTTTACAGTCAGTCACTCAACTCAGGCAATTTCAAAGGTTAATGGGGGTTTGGTGGAAAAGCTGCCGTCTATTTAAACTATATTAATTTTGAAACAACTAAATGGATTGCAAAAAAATAATTAAATCAAATACCTAAACACTAATATAATACAATTTTTTCCATTACACACTTTTTTCCTGTAGTTTATGTGTTTCTTCTGTATTGCTATTCTATGGCACTTCTACTATTTATTATTGATGTACTTTTTCAGTATGAAGGATACTTCACTCGGGGGATTTCTCGGGCGAAGCCGGGTCATTCTTCTAGTGTAGTATAATAACGAGAAATTTCGAAAAGAAACTTTTCGATATAAAATGGTATTGAATATTGTTCAAATTTTTATATTTTCGGTAGCTTGATAAACTATGCAATTTAAATGTTTAAATGTAAAATGACATTTGAAAATTATCCCGCATGTGTTTCTTTTGAACGCCAAATCAAAATTTATTCCAAGGGGAGAAATAACGATTATTTCTAACCTTAGGGATGAAGTATGAAAGGAATTGTGAAGAGTAATGATAAACAGAAAAATAAAGTGTCCAGGGATGGGAATCGAACCCACAGTGTTCTGCTTACCGGGCAGATGCCATGTCCACTAGGCTACCCTGGACCTATTTTTCCGTTCGTAAATAATACATAGAGTAATTTATAATACAATCACAAGCCGCATTATATTATATTGTATTACTAGACGGGTGACCCGGGCTTCGCCCCGGGATTGACCCGTGTGCATATCTACCCGAGTGATATATATTTAGATAATATTTTTTTATAATTGTTTGTTATTAGCATTATCTATTTGTTTGCATTAGCATAATTTAATCTAATCTTTGATAGAGGGCGCTGTTCGTGAGCTAAGTAGAATAATTTGAATATATAGTTTTAATAATTGATTTATATATTTTTTAAAATAGCCTATCGTCTTCCCCGTATTTTTTTTACCTATGTATGGAAATTTTGGTTTGAATTAATGAACTACTGCGAATTTGTATACCGGACCTACAAACAAACAAGCATACAAACATTGATTTATATATATAGATATATATATATATATCATCAATAACTTAGCATCCTCTATCGCTTATAATTAGAAACATAAAATGGTGAAACTACATGGAGAATTTAACACTGATTAGCCATACTCTACCTCTTTCTATCTATTACAGGATAAGAGGGCTGTAGAAATAAATTTGACTTATAAATGTTTTGAACGAAAGGTATAAAGCGTTGAATAATATATTTATAATTCTCTATAATATAATTTTATTTTAATATATGTATAGTGTATTTGCATATTGAATTATGGATATGCAAATGTCCTGTTTTGCATAATGGTTTTCATAGAATTTTGTATATAAATAGCGACAGTTTTTAGCTACCAGCGGTCAGTCAACTTATGTTAATAAACGAGATTACTGGAGTCCGTTTTGCCTCAGTGAAGCGACACCTCACTCTTGGTTACCTCCCAACCTTCTAGGATAAAACAATATGAAAAATATTTTGTTATATATATATCTATGAGAGAAAGGAAGGATTATTAAATAATAAATGTTTTTTTACCTTATTGGCTGAAAATTCGATACTTTCTTCTTCAAACCACGAATGGAGACGGATATTGTTGGCAAAAGATGCTTTAATTGTATCATAGAAATATGTGATCTGTTTAAACACAAAGTTTAAGTTTAGACACACACATAGGAATTACATCTTTATAATTCATTTCATAAAAGGTAAATATAGATAATACTACGATGCACTAGCGCGCCATCTGTTATCAAATTACAAAACTATTTTAGAGGCGTAATATTCTTTTTAAAATAAAACAATTTCTACTGTCCTTACTGTAATGGAAAAATTAAAGGGAGGGCCTGTCTCATCAGTGGTGAACCCTCCCAGCGGTTTCGCCAGTTTAATCTACCATACCGCTGTTATATTGCATTTTTGGAACTTCCTTTTATAGTTGACTGTTGTAAGACTCTTGGAATGGGTATTTTAGAATAACTATGGACATAAGCTTTTAGGACAGCAGAATTAAATATAATTATAAATATATAATATGCTTCGAGCAATCATACGCTAGTGCATCGTAACATAATTGTTCAAATAAAAGACACAATTTGATATTTGCGGAAGAGCGATTGCTCGAAGCATATTATATATTTATAATTATATTTAATTCTGCTGTCCTAAAAGCTTATGTCCATAGTTCTTCTAAAATACCCATTCCAAGAGTCTTACAACAGTCAACTATAAAAGGAAGTTCCAAAAATGCAATATAACAGCGGTATGGTAGATTAAACTGGCGAAACCGCTGGGAGGGTTCACCACTGATGAGCCAGGCCCTCCCTTTAATTTTTCCATTGCAGTAAGGACAGTAGAAATTGTTTTATTTTAAAAAGAATATTACGCCTCTAAAAGAGTTTTGTAATAGATAATACTGATGGAAATTTTTGCCGGGAGAGAAGAAATTGATCTAAAGAGACAAAGGTCGCCTCTCCCGTCAAAATAGACGTCTAAAACCAGACGCCATCTATTGACCGTCCCGCAACTAGCGGCCTCGGGTCGGTGACAAAGCCACAACACCAGCTTTGGCAAACTGAAAAGCGTCCACCTAGAGACCATGGTTTCGGGCTAATGGTCCTCATCAGTCTAGGGCGGATTTTATTCCATGAGATCCACACGGGATCTAATGGAATCTTGACAATCTTGCAAAAAGGTGTTTAGCTGGCAAAGTGGCTGGGCCATATCTATGGCTAAAATTTAGATGGAAATTTTGCAGGAGGGAAATTGATCTAAAGAGACAAGGGTCGCCTCTCCCGTCAAAATAGACGTCTAAAACCAGACGCCGATTGTCACCGACCCGAGGCCGCTAGTTGCGGCGACGGTCAATAGATGGCGTCTGGTTCTAGACGTCTATTTTGACGGGAGAGGCGACCTCTGTCTCTATAGAAAATACTCTATATTTTTAGCATGCCTTCTTGTTATGTGATTAAAATAAGTAAGAAGGATGAATCCGTAACCAATTTAACTTTACATATTATTTATTATTAATAGTAATTATATGAAACAAATCTTCGTATATATGTCTACATGAAAACAACAAAAACATTAATTATTATATACAAGTTCCTTTTCAAACACGAGCTCATCTATAGCTATTGTTATTCTGTGTAATATTCCAACACATCTCACATATAATCCACACAAAATAGATATTAATAGAAACTATAAAAATTAAATTATTGAATATCATTAAAATTGATTTGGGAAATAGAGCAATCCATTCTTAATTCATTAGATAATAAAAAGGCATATATTGGATTTAATACAATATTTATTTTGCCAATATTTCGGCTGGCTGAACGCCAACCTTTATCGAGGCATTACATGTATACAAGTGTATGCAAAAATGTAATGTCTCGATAAAGGTTGGCGTTCAGCCAGCCGAAATATTGGCAAAATAAATCTTTTATTAAATCCAATATATACCTTTTATTATCTAATCATTAAAATTGTCTCTCAATAAGCATCGAATATATTGAAGAGTAAGGAAGAAAATCATAAAGAATTAATTGATATAATAAGGATTATTGATATTACTAAACACGTCATATACAACCTATGGAAAATTTTGATTTTAATAATGAATATGATGCAGAAAAAGAGCTTGACTTAATTTTAGCAACTTGAATATAATGTATAACTCTATACACATTCTCTCAGAATGCTTATTGTCATTTTATGTAAATAATTATATGTTAACACAAAGCAATAACGTGCCATCTATACATAAAAATAAAAGGATTTAAAAGCACGAATGTTTCTTTTATACATAATACAAACTTCTACTGTCCTTACTGCGATGAAAGAATATATTGGGAGGGCTTGGCTCATCAGTGGTGAACCCTCCCAGCGATTTCGCCATTTTAATCCACCAGACCGCTTCTCAGAGCTCTAATACTGTATTGGACGATTCTGCTTATATACACAGCACTAAAGGATGGAATCTCAGAAATGATTTTCAAGAGAACTATGGACATAAGCTTATAGGACAGTAGAATTACATTTAAATATTTGCATCGAGCAATGCTCTTCCGCAAACAATAAAGAAAAGGCCAGTTAAGCATAAATTAACACAAAGGAATAACGCGCCATCTATACATATAAAATGAGTGCTTTTGAATCCTTTCATTTTATAATTATATGTGTAAACGTTTAATAAATAAAGCTCTTAGTTATATTGTTTGTTGAATACCATTTTCTGCTTAAAATATGTGTCAGCTTTAGAGTTTTTGGATTTATATTACAATTTTATTTATGATAATTTTTATATAAAAGAGATAAGATTCTAAATGGTTATATGTAATGCCAATAATAAATGAAACACTAAAATCTTTAGAAAAATTAAATATATAATTGATATCGAGACCTCATCCGTTTTAAAGTTCGGAGATGCGGTCCTATTTTAATCCCGATAAAAAGAAGATAAATAATTTGTTAAGAGATTGGCTGGTATGTAACATACAACGAAAAATGGGTCTACATTTGCAAAGCAGAAACAAAATACAACAACAAAAAGCTTTATTAAGACCTTTTAGTCTT